AAGCTCTATATTATTAAAAGCTCTATATTATTAAAAGCTCTATATTATTAAAAGCTCTATATTATTAAAAGCTCTATATTATTAAAAGCTCTATAATTTCTTAGCAAGAAAAATTAACGAAAATTAACTCGTATTTCTTAAATAACTAAGTAAAACCTTAATATACTTTATAAATAAACTTTCTAATATACTTTATAAGCGAATTCTCTATATAGGTAAACTCTCTAAAAATGCTAAGCCTCTACTAAAAAGCCGCTATCTTATTTAGATTTCTCTAACTCTAAGCTACTTAAGATAAATCTAGATAAGCTATCTAACTTATCTATATTATCTTTAACTACCTAGCACGTTTACGCGTTATACTCTAGCTTACTGCAGCGTCTACAGCGTTGCTAAGCTAGCTAGCCGTCGCGTGCTACTACCCCTTCGCGCTACTTCTTACCCTTATTCTAATTCGCAGCCTCTCTTTAAGCAACTAGCTATAAGCTAGCTTTAATTGTAAGAGTATTCTCTTTCTAAATCTACTTTCTTTTACGTAAATTACGCTTCTTTTTCTATGTATTAGCTGCTTAAAGCTAGGCAACTTTAGACTCTATAAGTACTAGCTAATGCGCTATTAGCTTATTACCTTTCTTAAGCTAATTAAGTAACTTAATAATATAAGTTAGTAATAAATTAAGGTACTATATAATCTTTAATTAAATTAGAGTTAATTAGAACCTTACTTTAATAAGATTACTAGATATTTTATACTTCTAAATAGTAGTATTAGTAGTAGAGCGTATTAGCGTATATAATTAAACTTTAAGCTTTAATACTACTAAATCTAGGTTAAATAAAACTAAGCTAGTATCTTTAAATTCTACTCTAATATTATTATCTATAATTAACGCGTAAAAAGCTATATAAAATATAGATAGAAACTTAGTTTTTATAATATAGTTAATATAGCTATATATTAGAATCTTAACTTAGTAGCTATATACTACCTTTAATAGTAAGAAGTAGCTAATATTAAGTAGCTATAAAAGGTATAATAAATATACTAGTATATAGAAAGCTATAATTTTATTCTTCTTATAGTACTACTAGAATTTAATAAAGCTATAGCTTTTATAGCTATCTAAAATTAGTAGATAATATACGTCTATAACGTAACTCTTAGTATATACGTTAAAGTACTTTAACTATATAATACTAACTTTATTTATTATCTAGCTACTTTTAGAGATAGCTAAAACCTAGTTATGTAGTAGCTAGCTATCTTTATACTATACTAAGAGGTAGTTTTTATCTATAATAATAAGAAATAGTAGAATCTATATATTATCTACTACTCTTACTATTATAATTACTAAAATCTACTTATAATTATCTAGTTAAAAACTCTTTAGTTATAATTATCTCTTAGAGCTAGTAACTACTATCTAAGATAATATTATTTCTATTATAAAGCTAGATTTATTAAAATTATACATATCTTTATTAGTAATACTATACTTTACCTTTATATTACCTACTAGATTAAACTATATCTAAATAATTATAGAATTTTCTTACTTTACTCTCTAATAGTTATACTTATAATTAAGCTATATTTTAAGCTTAGAATAGTATATAATAAAGGTATTTAGCTAGTTTATACCTACTACCTTCTTACTCTACTTAGTAAGTAGCTTATTAGCTATACCTTAAATAGTAGTAAGCTTAGAGATAAATTCTTATATATCTAGATTAAGTATATACTTAACTATTATCTACTCTTTATTCTTTATAAGCCTTATTAAATTAGATATCTTTTTATATTATAGAGTAACTTTATTACGTTAACTATAAACTTTCTTCTACTCTACGTTATAGAGAGCTATAGCGTACTATAAGCTTAGCTTTAGATTCTATTAAATAGTCTAGAGCGTAAGCTATATTTAGAATTTATCTAAAGTTAATTAAACGTTTATAAAGAGCTTTATAATAGAGATAATAGTATTTAGTAAGAGCTTAGTATTTTTAGAAAGTTTATCTATATAAGAGGTTTACTTATAAAGTATATTATATAAATAAACTCTCTATATAAATAAACTCTCTATATAAATAAACTCTCTAGAGTTTCTTAGTAAGAAAAATTAACGAAAATTAATACGTTTTTCTTAAATAACTAAGTAAAACCTTAATATATTTCTATAAAAATTTAAATATATATTCTTTATAGTATATTATACTCTACGTATAGAAAAACTTTTATAGAACTTCTATATATAAAAACTTTCTTCTCTCTCTATTTTAAAAACTAATAATTTTCTACTCTACTAGTAGAGCTAATAATCTCTCTATACTATCTATAGAGCTAATAAATAGCTACTACGCTAGTAGTATATATTTCTACTTCTTAAATAAGAAGCTATATCTAAGTTAAACTACTTAAATACTATAGGTAAACTCTTATAAAGTAACTCTAGTAGCAAGACTCTAGTTATATAGTATCTCTTTACCTCTATAATTTTTAAATTCTAGGTAGAGAACCTACTAGCTAGTTACTTAAACTAATATTATTATTATAAATTACCTATTTAACAACATAATATAATAACTAATAAGAATTAGAATAATAACTTTAAATAGAAGCTAGCACGGCTATGCTAGAGCTTAGTAATACCTAGGTTATTAGTAGTAGATAGCTTTTATATACTCTCTACCTCTAGAAAGAAGCTCTAAGAGCTTTTTCTAGAAAAGCTAAGTAAAATTATTAATAAATTAGTTAGCTAATTACTTATATACTAGATACTTAAATAATAGACTTATATATATTACTAGATTACTACTAATATATTTACTAAAGAAAATACTATATATAAAAAGTATTAGAATTTATAGTAAAAAAAGCTACTACTTTAGTAAAGATTTAATAGCTATAAGTATAACTATAATTCTACTCTAGAAGCTAAATACTATCTACTCTATTAACTTAATATATAATATACTTTATAAATTAGACTCTACGTATACGTAAAACTAGCGCGTTACTACTAGATAACTTAATTCTAGGTTTTTATCTAACTACGTATACGCTTACTATACTACTAGTAACTAAATAACGCTTAGAAAGCTAGATAAGATTTTTTATTAAGTTTCTAGACTCTCTATTACTATTTAATAGCAAGGTTATTACCTTTAAGTAATAGAGAGATAGATTATAAGATAAGCTTTAAGCTAATTATAACTAGTATATAGAAGAGATAGATAAGAATACTAAGAAAACTATTATAGTCTATATATATATATAAATAAAAAAAGATACGTATTAGACTCTCTCTATAATTCTATATACTCTAAGAAATAGTAGTATCTAGATTTTCTATAAATATATACTTAATTAGCTAGAGAAGAGCTATATAGATCTCTATAAGAGGCTAAACGTCTATCTTAATTTCTAGAAGCTACGTTGCTAAAATACTACTAACTTTACGTACTTCTAGGTTAATTTCTTCTACCTAGCATAGAAGCGCTAGCTTCTAATAAACTAATAGATAGAAGAGCTCTATAAGAAGCTTTTAATAAATCTATATACGTAGATAGGTGTCTATTAACGTTAGTATACTAATAATTACAATTAATATATAGACCTTGCTTAAGACCTTACTAGAGAGCTTATCTAAAAAGAAGCTTACGTATCTAGAAAGGTTAAAAAGTATAATATACTTATATTAATATCGCGTTATACGTCTACTACTCTTCTAGGTATTCTACTAATCTTAGATAAAACTCTAGTAATTAGAAAGCTAGTTATCTACTTCTAATACTAGTAACCTAGCTATATAAGCTATAATTACTTAAGCGCCTCTATAGCGTAGAAAGCTATTAAGAATATTAATCTAGAGAAGAAGTTTATAGAGCCTATAGAGCTATAGGTACCTAAGAATAATACGTTAGAATATAAATCTAATAATTTAGAAAAAGTCTAGCTCTAGAAGAAGTCTTCTCTCTAGAGCTACTTACTAGAGTAATAAATCTACGCTAAAAGCTATTTAGTAGTTCTACGTTTACTCTACTCTACTAAATATCTATAAATAGTCTTGCTATTAAGCTTAGAAACTTAATTAATACTAGAGCGAGTAGTTATATTCTAGTATACCTAAAGCACCTTTAGACTCTTAGAAAAAACCTCTACGTTAAGCTATTACGTATAGAACCTATTCTTCTTACTAAATATAATAGACAATCTAATAGCTAGATAGATAAATACTTTAAAGCTAATTTAGTACTAGAAAGCTACTAAATATATATCTACTTTATATATTATAATACTAGCTACTATAACGTAATAATTAGTTATAAACTACTAGAAGAAGTAGACGTTTAGGTTAACTATAAGTAGCGCGTACTAATATAGCTAGATACTAATTAATTAATTAATTATAAACGTAACGTGTTTATCTTTATATAATTCTCTTAATCTACTACTAAAGCTTAAGTAGCTTACTAAGCTAATACTAATTACTATAACGCCTTAATATTAGTAGTAGAAAAGCTAAGAGTAATATAATAAGAGAAGAAAGTCTTAACCTACCTGCTAGGTTGCTCTATAAGCTAAAAAAGCTAACTATTTTATAAGAAACATGCCTAAAGACTAGGCTTAACGTTAATATAG